ATCAGGCCCTCTGAATAGGTGAGACAGTTGATTGGCTTGATCTGTTTGGGAGGCATCTAGGCAGTGATACCAGGTCCTGGGCTCATTGCATGAGTTAGCTGTTTGAAACCTGAGACTTATGCAGGGATGCTTGGCTCAGTCTGGGAGGGAACTGGACCTTCCTGGACTGAGTCTACCAGGTCGATCTCAGTCCTTGGGGGAGGCCTTGCTCTGGAGGAGATGGGAATGGGGCGTGGGCTGGAGGGAAGTGGAGGGGGGCGGGAAGGGGGAGAACAAGGGAATCTGTGGCTGTTATGTAGAAGTGAATAGTATTGTAAAATAAAATAATAATAATAATAATAATAATAATAATAATAATAATAAAAAGAGAGAAAGAAAACAACAACAACAACAAAATGCCTTTGTCTGTGAACATATATTTGCAAGTATGTCATGATATGTTGATGTTGAGTCTATCAGTTATACACTCATGAGTGGCGTGACTAGGCCACATGAATCATTAGTTTTTTAAAGGACCACCACTTTGACATTCACAGTAAATATAACCATTTACAGTCCCACCAGCAGGATATAAGGTTTCTTTATCTCCACTTTTTTTCTCTAATTTTTAGTAGTTCTTTGAGCGTTTTAGTCATATTCACCCTCTCTCTCAACTTCTTTCAGGTCCATCTCTGCTCCCTACCCACCTATGTTTATATCCTTAGTTAAAAAAAAAAGTCAAGTAAAATTTGTGCTGCCCATAAATTTTTGGATGTGTGACCTTCTACTGAAACATGATTAGAGCTACCAAGGCAACACTCTTACAGAAAACTGACTCTTTCCCAGCAACTTCAACTACCAATAGCTTCTTAGTTAGGGGTAGGACTTAATATCCAACTCCTCTGTCTAGCCTAGGAATTTTGTCAAGATTCGGCTTGTGCAGATCATACACATGATGTCACAACCACTGTGAGTTTTTATATGTGCATCAGCTTCTATATCCTGAAGACTGTCTTCCTCTACTCATTTACCACCTCTGGATCTTACAGTTTTTTTCTCCTCTTCAGAATGATCTCTGAGCCTTGGGAGAATGGAGTCTGATGTAGATACCTTCTGTATTTATTGCTCTTGGTTTTCTTTCTTCTTCTTTCTTCCTTCCTTCCTCTCGCAATTCCCTTTATTTTTTTCCAAAACATATTTTCTTTCTGTAGCCTTGAATATCCTAACTCTGTAGGCAAGACTGGCCTGGAACTCACAGAGATCCACCTACCTGTGCCTTCCAAGTGCTGGAATTAAAGGCCTGTGCCACCACTGCCAATGCCTTTGGTTTTTTTGATGACAACCATTCTGACTGTGGTGACATGGAATCAAAAGGCAGTTTTCATTTGCAATTCTCTGAAAGCTATGGATGTTGAACAATTTTCAAATATTTTTAGTTTGTTTTGAGAACAACCAATTTGGGTCAATGGCTTATTTATTGTTTGGATGACTTGGTTATTTGTGTTTAAACTTTGCTGTTAATAACATATTCTAGATACTAGTACCCTGTCTGAAGTACTAATTCCCATTTTGTACTTTGTCTCCTTGCTTTAGTGACTGGTTTCTATCTATTCAGGAGAAACTTAATTCCATCTACTCACATTTGTCAGGTTTGGGAATTGTTTTTGTGTTGTCACAATCCTTTCAGAAATGACCAGACATTGAACTGTTTTATGTATATCCTTGTAACAGTTTCAAAGTCAAATTCAAGTTTCTTATCCATTTGTGCAGGGTAAGATACACAGAACTACTTTTGTTCTACATGTAGATAGCCAGGTATAAACTTCCTTGGTGTTTTTGAGAAATAATATGAGCCACAAGTTCCTATTTTAGGAGGACCAACTTTGCTGCACATGGAACTGAAGAGAAGGTAAACACTACAGTAGGTAAGCTCCCAGGAGATGACTGAATTTGCACTCATGAAAAAATGAAAGCATGTGACAGGTGTAAGAGAATTCAAAATACTCCTTAGAGAAAGTTTTTAATCAGTAGACAGATGAATGAAGGAATATGTAAAGATATTTTCAACTAACTAGAGGTTTATGTGTGGAAGGGGAAGGTGGTAGTATCAGAAAATGGAATAGAAAACACAGAATGAGAAAGTAGTAGCACTCTCTTTTCCAACAACTACTCCAGTGTTCTATCTCTCTACTGAATGAAACCCAAATGGGTATCATTCTCAATAGACATTCAAGATATCTTAAACCAGACCTCTGTAACCTGATCCAGGGAGAAGACTCCTTAACTGCCTCCATCAGAAACCCACCAGTATAAGCACAGTTTTCCCTAAAACATTGCCTAGAAAGACATGTGTTTTTTTCTTTCACTTCTTTTCATTTTAACATAATTTTCAACTCATGTAAAAGTTGTAAAGCACAACATGGTTTATATACCATACATAGGATTCTCTAAATGCTGCTTGCTTTCTTCTTCTCTTCCCTCTTCCTGCTGTCAGAACTATAAAGGTAGATCCTCAAGTGAAGGCCTACCTCCTACAGTGTCTTTATACTGAGACACATTCATGTTTCTGTCACCGCAACACCTCTGTGTGATCATAAAGGGAGATATTTAACTGAAAAGTTGTATGCAAAGGAAAAATTCTCAAAATCTTAGAGCTCCTTTAAAAAAATATGTAACATTCCAAACTATCTCAAACATACATGCTGAAGCTAGTGCATGATTCATTTAGTGCTGACACTTCCTTTGCCTCTCTCAATCTGCTTCCTGTGAAAATACAAAAGCTGATTGCCAAGGTACCCAGGTGCGATGGAGATTGGAAATATAAATGGGATTAAAGTGATAGACAACTAGTAATATAAAGCCAGAGAGAAAAACCACAAAATGACAATGACTAGAGGCAGGAATGTCAGCTGAGAATAATTATTAATTGAAAGATAGACTTTAAACTGAAAGGTGTGCTCCTTAAATACAACCGACTTCACATAGAAATCACTAGAAGATTTTAGCAGCATTTTCATTCTTTTTCTGAAAAAATAAAGAGATAATCAGAATCTTCATCATCAAAAGTATCTAAACAGTAGAGGACCTGGAAACAGTATGAGCCTTGCTCTATTTCAATGTCACCAGCTACAGCTGGGTTGACACTCAGATTAGTAATGAGTTAGTCCCATATATGGCAACATTATTTGGAGATCCATTTCCACACACATAGCCATAATAAATGGATAATGACTATGATGTGCAGAGGCCATTCTGACAGGGAACAGAAGTGCTACCTCCCCAGTGTTCAGAGTACACAATGGTAGGTCAAAACTGGAAGATACCTTAGAGATGATCTTAATCTACCCTTATACACATCTTATTCATCTCAAGCCAAAGGAATAGATGTAACCTTCTCAGTATCCCACAGCAAATCAAACACAGTCCCCTACACATGCTCATTGACTTTCAGTCAATGTATTAAGACCAACTGAGGATTCAAGGTGAAGCATGAAGATTGTCACATTGGCTGCATTGTGAATTCAAATAGTTTTGACAGTGAGCAGACAAATGAGCTCATGACGTATTTCTAAAATGTACTTGGCTCTTGTACTGGCAGGCTTTCCTTGTGGAAGGCAGAATCTGCTCTGTTGGGATAGCTTCTTAGTAGGGAAAGAGCAGGTCAGAACACTTCTCTCAAGCAAGTGGACATCGTATGAAGATCCAGGATAAAATAAGCCACACATGGCAAGGTTTTGGTTGTTGTTTTGTTTTGTTTTGTTTTTTTTTCACACTTTTCATTCTAACTACTTTTCTCATTGCTGTGACCAAATACCCAACAATAGTCAACTTAAGACAGAAAAGGCTTATTTTGTTTTATAATCTTCCATGAAAGGGATGGCATGGCAGAAGAAACATGACACAGTCATGACATATCCACAGAAAGCAGACTGTACAACCAGGATACAAAACCTCAAGAGAACTCCTGATCTACTTCTTCCTAAAGGGCTTCACCTCCTAAAGGTTTCACAGCCTTCCAGAACACCACCACAACCTGTGGACCACATGGTCCAACAAATGAGACTATGAGGGACATTTTACATTCAAAATACAGCACTTACCAGTGAAAAGGGCCAGTCCTGATGTGCAGAAGTGAAGATGAGGACAGATAAAAGGAATAGAGGAAAGTCCAGAGATTTTATTCTAGTGAAATTCCTTCCTAGAAAGGAGGATATCATGAGAAAGAAGTCTTTTCCCTAACATTTTAAAGTGAATTGTTAATTTTAAAATAATTTCATACATGAATACTTTATTTACATAACTTTCCATACCTCCACCTGCGCATTCCAACCCCACCCACATCTCCCACTTCCCTTCAGATTCATGACCTCTTCTATAATTATTATTGTTACGCATAAAGACACACACACACACACACACACACGCACGGACGCACGGACGCACGCACGCACGCACGCACGCACGCACGCGCATGCACGCGTGCCTACTGAATCCATTTAGTGTTGCTCCTATGTATAAAGGGCAGACTACTTTGGATTAGATAACCTACCAGGGTCTCACCCCCAAAGAAAACTAATTTTGACAATCTTAGCAACCTATAGTTCTTTCAGGAGTAGTACTTTGTGATAGTTTTACCATCTATTTGGCTTCTTAGCTGCTGTTGTCATGGTTCAGGTCACTTTTAGACAACTACACTGTTGAGATTTTTATGGGTAGTGTCCCTGTCATATGTAGAAGACACTGTCTTAAAACAGATATCCTGGTCCTCTGGCTCTTATAATCCTTCCCCTCCATTTTCTGTTGTGTTCCTTGAGTCTTAGGAGTAGGGCTTATGTTATACTTGGGACTGGGCACCCCACAGTACCTTACTTTGCATTTTGACCACTTGTGGATCTCGGTAATAGTCACTATTTGCTGCAAAAAAAAAAAATTCAGTGAAAGGTGAGTGTACCAGGCTTTTTCTTTTCTTATTCTCTCTGCCTGACAGCCCCACCTCACCCTCTTCTGCCTAGGTATTGGCTGTTCAGCTTTTTATTAGACTAATCATGTGCCTTAGGCAGGCAAGGTGAAACAAATGCAACACATCTTTACATAATTAAACAAATGCAGCAGAAACAAAAGTAACACATCTTACATTGTTAGACAAATGCAGCATAATTAAATGTAACACATCTTTACATAGTTAAAATAATATTACACAACATTTTCCATTTTTTGACTAAATAAAAAGGAAGGTTTTAGCTTTAACATAGTAAAGCTATCTACAACAATAACAATTATCAAGTAAGGATATTACATTCATAATGTCCAGTCCATTTGTATTTGAAAAATTCAGAGAAAATACTCCAATATTTATCCTATGTTGATGAGTCCAAAGCTCTGTACCTAATTTACCTTCTATCATAACTAAGGAAAACTGTAACTATAACTATCTACTCTTCAACTTTATCAAAGACTCCTGGAGGATATAATATCACCTGAGTAAAGAGAAGCTGAGTGCAAGTCACTTCAAAAACGATGGAGACAGTTGGCTCCCTGGATAGCCATCAAAGGTTTCTCTGCAATGTTGGGGGTACCCATCTTTGGCCTACAGGCCTAGAATATCTGGCAGATATTTCTATGAAGCAGGAAATTTGAAGGACTTTCCTGCCTTGTCTTGATTTGGCAGTCTTTTTCCTTTGGGCCCTGTTTTTCTAGTTTATACAGCATACTATCAGCAGCCAAGTCAAGAGTAGTTTCTTTGCCTAGTAGCTAACTTTGCCACAATGAAAGCAAATTCCATATAGAGTTTTTTCGATGACCATTATCTTCTCTAAAGTAAATTGGTACTGCCAGGAACAGATGCGTCTTACTGTCAAGAAAAGCCTTATGTTACTAAACATATTAAATGCCATATTCTGTAGGTCTTTGAAGCATTTGAAGAAGGTCTCTTTAAAATAAATCTGTTTAATTTTGAAAACATACCTAACTAAGTTTGATTCTTATGGATGACTAACTACTAACCTGAATTTCTTAATTATACATTACATTTTTAAATGAGCTGTATAAGCTCAATACCCCAAACAAGAGCAGAAACACACATTCAGTATAACAAAATTAACTTTAAATTTGTATCAATATACCAAAATTCATATCAATGTAAAATATTCAAGGTTAATAGTTGTCTTTTTAACCTATATTTCTGTATCCCCTGTGTTGATATTTTATTTGTGCTGAAATGTAATGATATTTTATTTGTATGTTAATAAATAAAGTTTGCCTGAAGAACAGAGAAAATAACAAGCCATTCACACAAAAGTCTGGCAGTGGTAGCACACACCCTTAATCCCATCAGTTGGCAGGCAGGGTCTCTGTGTGTTCAAGGACACACTAAGGAACAGTCAAGCGTGGTGAGACACGCCTTTAATCCCAGTACCAACCATAGAGACCTGGAGGTCTGTACAGACAGACATGGCAAGGAAGTGAGGTAGCTGGGCTAAGAGCCAATGAGAAGACAGAACAACAAGGCAATAAAGGCATGGGTAGCCAGGAAGTAGCCCACTTTTGGAGTTGCAGAGCTGATGAGTTAAGGTTGATTGGTGGCTCTCACTATTTCCCTGATCTCTAAGGCTTTCACCCCTATATTTGGCTCCATATTTTTTTTATTTTAAAAGACTGTTTAGAAATTCAGCTACAATCCCCCTAAACAATGACAAACATCCATAACCCACAAAATGACCAACAACCCACCCACCCCATCTCTTGGGAATGTGAGTGTTGTATTCTCTACACTGCTTCCTGTTGTCTGTGATGGCATCTTTAAGGAACCCTGAGAAAATTGAGATAATGGTCAAGTCATGGGAAAACTAGCCTTAACAATTGTTGTCCAGTCTCTATACAATGGGAAAATACAAGGCTTATCTGAAGTCCTAGCTAGAATAGTTTGTGAACCTGGACTGTATCAGCCAGCAGCCTTGAAGTTGTTCTGGATTCAGAACTCTGAGGAAACTGCAACAGAAGCATTCTGAGAGGCTGGATCACCTGGGCTACCCATTTTCATTTGCTCTGGTCCACTTGCTCTGAAAACACACAAACTTTCAAAGATAACATACACATCTGCGTTAACACAAGGATGCATTGTCCAGGGATCAGCATATATGTCACCTGTCCTACAGTTTGTTGTTGTTGTTTTTAGGTTTATTTCTTTATATCTGTAGCCAGGATTTTCAGGAGGTCTCCCCTGATCAAACCTGATCTCTATCAACCACAGCCTCTCATTTCCTATGGAAACAAAAGCATCATCTCTTTCCCAACGCAATTCATTTTTTAATTCCATTTTTTAAAGTTAAGGCCTTCCTAAGTACCTATGCTAGTTTAATTCAGCAGTCTCTCAGTAGCTGTAATTTTCTTATCAGCATTTAAAAAATTCAAAATCACCAAGACGCCATACAGGATCTGGACTCTCTGTGTATTTCCCATCCTTGTGTGGAGTGTCCTTTTTATATTACTACTCTTTCTTTAAAGATGATACTTTATTACTTTTAAACTATTTTTTCTATTACTGTCTCTACTCATTTTCTTTTTCTTAAGCCTACTAGTGTTTTTAAACACACTGTAACCTGTTTAGAGGTTTTTTGTTTTTTTTTCCATCTGAAACTGCTTTGCTAAGTGCCTGCAGCTGCATACTTGCAGAATTCTCTGAAGCATGAGCCAAACTTTAAATTGCTAAGTAGGGGGTGGGGTGGGAGCTAGACCCTCCACCCAGGGATCTGACAGATGCCCTACCCTCTCCTTGGTCCAAGAGAGACAAGCTCTACTGCATTTTTTAACCAGGAACTGCACTCAATAGCCCCAGCTCATGAATTATTAGTACATGCCATTCTTTCATATGGCATGGAGACAGATTTAGTTATACAGTCCAAACAAACTTACAAAGTTGAAAGATGTCTTTCACCTGCTCAAACATAAAACAGAAAATCATCTTTGGCTGGCTTGTGTACAACGGACAGTTTATACTTGTGCTAATGCAGATATGTATATTACCTTTGAAAGTTTGTATGTTTTCAGAGCAAGAGGACCAGACACCCATGAAAATGGGTAGCCAAAGTGATCCAGCCTCTCAGAGTGCCTCTGTTGCAGTTTCCTCAGAGTTCTGCATTCAGAACAACTTCAAGGCTGCTGGCTGATACAGTCCAGCTTCACAGACTATTCTAGCCAGGAACTTTCCCATTACACAGAGATTGCATGACAAAAGTTTTCTAGTTTCCTTAGGACATGACCACTATCTCCCCAAGGCATCATAGTAGAGCTGTCCCTGCTGGAAGGGGGCGCAGGTGAGCCAGCCCTGAAGATGTGAGAGTTAAAGAGCTAGCCCCACAGTCTGTCACATGGTGGCAGGAGCGAGAGAGCTAACCCTGCCTTGCCCCTAGCCTCTCCACCCTGCCACCAGGTGGAAAAAGCTGGTCCCAGGGTCATAAGAGTGGGAGAGCTGATCTTGCTCCTAACAGGCTGCAGCACTGTGGAAGAATAGGCCCTCCACCTAGTCCAGGAAGTCTGGCAGAGCTGACCCCATTGATGGGGCACAGGTGAGTGAGAGAGGGAGCATTGACCCCATCTCTTGCCCCTTGTTGAGCTGGCCCTGAGGTCATGAGAGTGGGAGAATTGGCATTGACCCCACTGGCAGCAGCACTCAGAAGAGCAGGCCCTGTACCTTCTTGGGGCAGCACAATAGAGCTTACCCTGTTGGTGGGAATGCAGGTGGGAGTGTTGGTGGGGATGCCCGGGGTGGGGGGGGTGCTGCGGGGGAAGAGACAGGGTGAGAGCATGAGTGAGGAAAAAAACGCCCTCCACCCCCTTGCCCTTTGCCATCTGCATCAGGTAAGAGAGCTAGCCCCGGGGACTCAAGAGTGAGAGAGTTGGTCCTGGCCCTTGCTAGCTGCAGCAGGCAGGAGAGCAAGAGCAGGCACACCGGAGCTGACCTTCTTGGCAGCGGTGGGGGTGAGCAGAGCCTGTGGGCCTGAGAACTGAAGATCTGGCCCTGTCCCTCACCAAATGAAATCCAGAGAGTGGGCCCTGCACTTTGCCTGGGCAAAACAATAGAGCTGGCCCTGGTAGTGTGAGTGCTGGTGAGCCAAGCCTAGGATGTGAGAGCAGGAGAGCTAGCCTTTCTCCTTGCTGCCTGCTATATTGGGTAAGCTAGCTGGGGCAGTGCTAGAGAGCTTGCCTGGGTGGTGAGGATGAGGGAAAACTGGTGGGCTGACCAACCCAGCTACCACCCAGTCCCAGAACCAGGACTATAAGGTAGCCAACCCCAACAACCACCTCATCTATGAACTGCTGGACCGTGAGAAAAGGTTGGACGTGAAGATCCAAAGATACAAGATCTCCATGACACAGGACAACAACAGGATATCCAAGAGGAGCCCCAGCAAGGGCCCAGAATCCATAGTGTAGCATAAGCCAGAGGCTTCAGACCAGACCAATGACTCATTGCAATGAACACTTACAAGTAAAGATATATGTACTAAAGGGTATACTGTTGTGACTCACAGCCACATTACAGCTTCCACAATGAGGTGTGTGTGTGTGTGTGTGTGTGTGTGTGTGTGTGTGTGTGTGTGTGTGTGTTTTGTTTAGGGAAGGTTACTTTTAAATTTTGTTTTGTCGGGGGAGGTTGCAAGAGCAGAGGATGGAAGCAAGTGAAGAGATGAGTGGGGTTAGGGTGCATGATGTGAAATATACAAAGAATCATTAAAAAGTAACAAATAAATAAACAAACAAATGCTTTGCTTGGGACTTTCCCTACCTTAGCAGTAGAGATCTTCTGTTTCCTATAATTGAACATCTTCCTTTTCTCTTTTTTTTTTTCATTTGAGAATTTTGTGTGCTAAGATGCCTAAGATTTTTGTTTATCCAACATTACCCTCTACATTGTA